TGTGCTGGCATGGGTGTTATATGGATGAACGCGTGAGGCCACCAAGCAGACGTTGCTTTCTGATTCCAAGCTGCATGTGCATTCTCCTTCCTTCAGAATGCTCTTCCAAATGGCACTTTTGAAAATTCACTCGATGCCCTCCACTGCTTGTGACTTGTTTTTATTTCATTTCTTTAATTTTACTCGATTTATGCCCTGCCCCACCCCACAAGCAGGCTCTGGGCGTCTTACAACATGCCAGTATAACAATTTAAAAGATTAAAACGTAATATAGTAAAAATTTAAAATTCAGTTCCATAAATGAATTAAAAGACGGCGACTATCCAATTAAAGTGCTCTCAGCAAAATTTGCCCCGTGCATGTGTGCTCAATTTTACTGTTTTTCCAAAAAAGTGGCAAAGTTCCCACAATCAGTGAATAAGTTTATACCTGTAGATAACACAGGAGATGGAGCAGGTGGGGAGGGGCAATCTAATTCTACAGTCCAAGACCAGCAAGAATAGTACAAAAAGGTAGATTATTTATATATATGTTACACTAAAAATCATAATTATAAAACAAATTTCAATGTTGAAAATACAGAGCCATCCTTTTCATAAATAACAGAATTGGGGATCTCCTACACTTCAATGACAACCAAGCATATTTAGCAACCTTGTGTGTTATGTCCTGGCTCTTATCAGAGAGCATTTTAGAGAGAAGTAGAGCTCTGTTTCCCTGGATAGGCTGAAAGTATGGGCAATATATAAACTTGGATCGAACAGAAACTTTGTAATTCTATTTATATCATGTTGTCTCTTAATGTCTAATATTCTCTGTTTTACCACTGTTTTGGCTTGATTATAACCCATACTTACTTAACAATAGTTGTTGCAATAAACCATATGAAGCTAATTTCCTACTCAACAGTCTAGCCCACGGTGGGTGGAATACAAGTATCGATCAACATTAATGAGACCTTAAGGGAGGGAAATTAGCTTTAACCAGTATACTATTGCTGCAATCCGTAATCTAGCCTCCACAGTTAAAGTCAGTTTTGCAATTCCAGGATGTTCATACACTCAAATATGAACAGCATTGTTCCTGATATAATATGAAAATACAGAACTGTTCACTCTCACGCTAACCGAAGCATAAATTTCCATCCTTGTACATGGTTTGTCTTGCAAATGTAATATTCCGCCCCTAAAATATTTCATAACGCACTGGTATCCTCAAATGAAGAGACTGAGTACTCTTACAAAGGAGAATATGGGTGCATGGGCAATATTATAGGAATTATATAACAATATTATAGGAATTGGATACTGACTAAGGGACATAAGAACATAAGAGAAGTCAATGACAGATGGGAACGGGAACAGGGCAGCTGGCACCTATTCAGTGAGAACGTTTATCCGCCTTAGGGGACTTTGCAAATTAAGGCCGATGCGGCCATAAATATCGATAACAGATTATTTTAACATGTTCTAATTATTCTTTTAATTATACTTTTAATATTCATAAAGGTAAAGGTTCCCTTGCTTGAAAGCCAGTCGAATCCGACTCTAGGGTTGCGGTGCTCATCTCTGTTACAAAGCCGAAGAGCCAGCGCTGTCCGAAGACATTTCCATGGTCATGTGTCTGGTGCAAATAAACACCAACGCGCACACGGTGGTACCTATTTATCCACTTGCAATTTCTTGCTTTCGAACTGCTAGGTTGGTAGGAGCTGGAACAAGAGGGGAGCTCATTCCGTCATGCCGGTCTCGAACTGCTGAACTACCGACCTTCCACAGCCTGCATTTCAGCATCTTAACCACTTGAGCTACCGCAGCTCCTATTTATCCACTTGCAATTTCTTGCTTTCCAATAGCTAGGTTGGCAGGAGTTGGAACTAGAGATGGGAGCTCATGCAGGACACTCGGGTCTGGAACTGCCGAACTACCGACCTTGTCTTAACCACTTGAGCCACTGCAGCTCCCCCTTTACCTTTAATATTTATGAAGATGCTTTACATTTTTAAAATATTACTAACTAAAAAACCTATATAAATGTTACCCGCCCTGAAGATGCTTTACATTTTTAAAATATTACTAACAAAAAAACCTGTATAAATGTTACCCGCCCTGAGGCCGCTTCTGGGAAGGGCGGGCTAGAAACGTGAATAAAAACATAAATATTTTTATCTATTTAATTTGTGGCCCCCGCCCTCCATCCCCGCAATATTCAAAATCAAAATTATTGGAATAATTTCAAATATTGTTTTTAAGAGAAAGGGGCCAGGGGTTTAAGGGCTTCAAAACGGCTTAAAAAGGGTAATGTGAAATTCCTCACTGTCTCGACATTTTCTATGAGTTTTCTACTACAACTCCAAGATCTCTCTCTTGATCAGTTCGGACCCCCATCAATGTGTATTTATAGTTAGGATTTTTGGCCTCAATGTGCATCACTTTGGATTTGGCCACATTGAACCCATTTGCCACGCTGACGCTCACTTGCCCATCTTCAACAGATGCCTTTGGAGTGCCTCACAATCCTCCCTGGTTTTCACCACTCTGAACAATTTCATGTCATCCATAAATTTAGCCACTTCACTGCTTACTCCCAACTCCCAATCATTAATGATTTGGACACAGCTAGTTGTTGTCTAGCGATACAAGGCTTAGGAAAGGGTGAAGAAAAATAAGTTTTAAGGCCACAGATTTTAAATTAATTGATGAGAATATCACCAGCCAAATGTGGGTGCACACTGAAGCTTATAGCCAGATTTAAAACTTACTCTTAAAGGTGCCACTGGACACACACTTTGTTTTGGAGATCCGCTGTAACAGTGGGTGATCTCCATAGGGATGCCAGTTCCCACATGCCGCCTCCCCCCCCCCCAATACCATTTAAAGGAAAAATTCCCTTTAATTCCAGTTTGGTGTAGTGGTTAAGTGAGTGGACTCTAATCTGGGAGAAGTCCTCCACATGCAGCTGCTGGTGTGACCTTGGGTCAGTTGCAAGTTCTCCCAAGGGCAGTTCACGAAAGAACTCTCTTAGCCCCACCTACCTCAGAGGGTGTCTGCTGTGGGAAGAGGAAGGGAGATTGGAAGTTGCTCTGAGACTCCTTCGGGTAGTGAAGGGTGGAGTATAAATCCAATCTCTTCTTCTTCTTCTTCTAGGAAAAAAGCAGGACTGTGATGAATACACCCCCTCCTGGAACACCCCCCTGTGAGCCAGTTTGGTGTAGTGGTTAAGCGCGCGGACTCTAATCTGGGAGAACCGGGTTTGATTCCCCACTCCTCCACTTGCACCTGCTGGATGACCTTGGGCAAGCCATAGTTCTGTCAGAGGTGTTCTTGAAAAAGAGCAGTTTCTGGCCAGAGCTCTCTCAGCCCCGCCTACCTCACAGGGTGACTGTTGTGGGGAGGGGGAGGGAAAGGATTTCATAAGCCACTCTGAGACTCCTCTGGGTAGTGAAGGGAGGGGTATAAATCCAATCTCTTCTTCTAATCCCCCCTGCTGGGGAGAAGATCAGACCTGGCAACCCTAGATCTCCAGGTGCCATTAGGTGGGCAGCACCAACAGATGGGAACGGGAACAGGGCAGCTGGCACCTATTCAGTGAGAACGTTTATCCGCCTTAGGGGACTTTGCAAATTAAGGCCGATGCGGCCATAAATATCGATAACATTTTATTTTAACATGTTCTAATTATTCTTTTAATTATACTTTTAATATTCATAAAGGTAAAGGTTCCCTTGCTTGAAAGCCAGTCGAATCCGACTCTAGGGTTGTGGTGCGCATCTCCATTTCAAAGCCGAAGAGCCAGTGCTCTCTGAAGACTTCTCTGTGGTCATGTGGCCAGCATGACTAAACACCAAGGCACACTGTTACCTTCCCACCGAAGTGGTACCTATTTACAGGTACCGCGAGCCGCTCTCGTCGGCCCCGCCCCTCTTTTTTAAAAAAGCAACGCCTCTCCCCTCGGCCTTTCTCGCGCCACCTGCCCCGCCCATAGGGTGCGGGAAGAGCCGTGATTGGAGCCGGCCGGGGTGACGCCGCCTGTGCCTCCCGCGCGCCCCCTAGTGGCCGGGGAGTGAAACGTCCTCCTCTCCACTCAGGGGGCGGGGAGAAGTGGAGGCCCCGCCCCCTCCCCTGTGGGGGGGACTTTTGCGCTTTGTCGTTTTCCCGCGTTCATTTTGGAAGGGGGCTGGGATTAGGGGTTGCCAGGTCTGAGTTGGGGAGGGGCCCCAGCATGGTGCAATGCCATAGAGCAGGGGGGGGTGGCGGCCAAACTTGCCTAATGGAAGAGCCACAAAGAAGAAACAGCAGAGAACAGATATCGCACACCTGTTTTTATTGGAAAACATGCAGATTTGCATATTTGTACTCATTTGCATATTAAGCGACACACCCCTAATGTAGCCAATCCTCCAAGAGTTGACAGTAGCTCCTGTAAGAAGAGCTCAGTAAGCTCTTGGAGGATTGGCTACATTAGGGGTGTGGCCTAATATGCAAAGGAGTTCCTGCTACACAAAGAGCCCTGCTTATTACCATTAAATAAGACTGCTAGAAATAAAAACAAAAGGGGGTGGATAAAAATAGATATTGATAATCATATTTAAAGAGACGAGTGCGTTCTCCAAGACTGCCGGAGGGGGGCTTTGAGAAGGCATTTAAAGTA